CAGGCCATAGGAAATTCCTTTGACATATTAGGAAGCAGTAACAAAGGAGTAATGCAGTTACTTAAAGCCATTAAAATAAGGCAAAGCTGCATAGGAAAAAAGATCTCATTTGTATTAGTTGAAATTTGGCTGCTATTTTGAGGCAATATATTATTCTAAATGGCTGCATGACAAAAAACCACCTTACCTATTGGCATCCAGCAGAGCAAAGATAGAGGCTTTAGCTGCTATAGTCAGAAAAAAAAACCTTTGGGAGGGAAGAACAGGAGATTTGTAAAATTAAAAAAAAAAAACTTCTCTCCTCCCATTTGAATCAATTTAAAAAGAAGGGTTACATCAGGCAAAGATCCAAATGCCAATTGTATCTGGCAATAAAAAAGAAAAGATATAAAAGACCTACAAATTCTGAATGATGAAAAAAAAGAGCTTCCATAGATTTCCTTTTTCCATTGGACAATCATTTTCTGAAACGTAGACTGGGTTGATCTAATTATTATATTTTATTTAGGATTCTAATAGAAACCTACTCTAAGTATTGCAAAGTATTTCTCATTATAAACCTAGACTTTGATTTCAGGTGATCAACCTGGGATAAAGGAAAACAGTAAATAACTGTTTTTTCCAGGCAAACAAAGCAGCAGCCTTGATCAGGGAAGCTTTAATAATATTTTAATAGGTTACAGCAAGATTAAATTTCTGTTGCATAAAAACCAATAAATATGTAGGAAATGAGAAGGGAAAAATACAATAGTGATTTTAAACAGGCAAAATCTAGTTAAGAACAAAACAAAAATGACCTTCTGAAGTCAGAAAGTATTTGAATGACCACTAATTGAAATGTCATAGAAGGAAGGCAAGCTGGTAAGTGAAAGCAAATATTTAAAGATGAGAAATCCTTCACAGTCAGCTGGATTAATTTTCTGCCAAGTTCATCACAAGCAAATTTATTTGAGGTGATGTTATAGAAAATGGAGGGCTGGAATATGTTGCTTGGAATCTGAGAAATGCATAATGCAAGAGGGCAGATAATGATTGCTGAAAGCTAGACTCCAGTCTTATCAGAAACTAACTAATAAGGTTGTGCAGAAAACCAGTTCTGAAGGACAAAACATAAATGCAGCATGGATAGGCGTACACAGAGCAGCCCTGAAAAAATTTACAGTAACTGTACACTTTTCTGAATTCCGTACCTGATCTCAGGGAAAAAAACATACCAGGTCCCTGAGCATCTACAGCAGGATGGCCAAACTGGTGGCCCATGGGCCGGATGCATCATGCACAGGCCATGCCCACCCTGGCTCTGCAAAGGCAAAAAAGTCATGATACGTAACATTACGCAATTGAGTTTGACACCCGTGATCTACATACTAAGTTGTTTAAAATTGCTTGCCCTAAAAATATATTCAGAACAGTTAATAGAAAATAGATAAGATGTGAGACATTCTAAAGTAAAGGAATATATTTCAAATTTTTGGGTGAATATGATGTATTCTATTTAATAACTGGCTGAAAAAATAACCAAGATCTTTTAAGATGTGGGTTTTTTTTATGTTTGAAGTGAGGAATCTGCTGTTGCCTTTCCCTTCCACAAAATGAGATTTTGCCATGAAAGAGGAGATTTCTGAGATATCCTAAACTTCACAGTAACTTAAGATCTGGAAATTCATGTTGCACTATGAGAACTCAAGGGAAAAAAATATTTGGACTGCCTAGCACTTAGTATGCAGTTGGAGTAAGCAGAAATGGGCAAAGAAACAACAGAAACACAACTTACTTCAAAGTAGTGATTGTGTTGACAAAGTCAATGCTCTAAAGTGACATTGTCAATGCCATACTTATTATTTTTTTTATAAAAAGCTCTGCATTTATCCAGAGATAATAGCTTAAAACCTAATCTTTTTCTCTGCTTTCTTGTTTTACTAGCAATTTAAGATGCAATCCTACTTCCACGTACATGAGAATAAGCTCCATTTATTTAATGATATGTCTGAGTAGATGTATAGAAAATATATAGAAAACTGCTAAACCTTAGTACTGAAGAAAATAGAAATAATATATCCTTATTGGGTTTGACATAATAGACATTGTTTCTGAAAAATAATAATAATAATAATAATAATAATAATAATAATAATAATAATAATTTATTAATTTCATATGCTGCCTAATACCCACCAACTCCTATGTTTGATTTTAATATGCAGGGATTTATTAGTGAAACAACTACTTAGGAATTTTTTGATGCTTTTAAAATCGAGGGTCAATTAAAACATAAGAACTCAATAGCCTTCAATTTGAATTACATAGAAGAAAGTTGAGACTGGCTGTATTCAGGATGATGATTATCATAGTTGAACTTTTACATCAGTCAATATCTTTCTACATATGAGCTGCAATTATATTCCAGGTGGTTTCCTTCCTTCCTTCCTTCCTTCCTTCCTTCCTTCCTTCCTTCCTTCCTTCCTTCCTTCCTTCCTTCCTTCCTTCCTTCNGAATAAATCCTTTTATTTTTGACAGACCAATCATGGACAAGACCAAAGCTCAAAATAATTGGATCAAAAGTGATATTTCAAGTAGAACTCTTTAAAGTAAACAATAGTGATTCAGATCTTGGATCCCATTTCTCACCAATTTAATTTTTTTTAAAAATTGTATACTTGGTTGTAACTGCACAGAATTGTACAATTCAAATTACATCATTTAGATGCAAACCACTGATAAACCTGATTGTATTTTTGCATCTAAGGCATCAGATTTTACTGCCATACATTGTGCAAGATAATGGAAGTATGTCTATTCTATCCTTGCCTTTCAAATTGTAAGAAACTAACATCATATAACATCTCAATTGTGTTAAACAAGAGAGCTCTAGGCTTAAATGAAATTTCCTTCCTTTTAGAAAGATTCTTGTGTGTCATTTCAATCTTGTTGTTATCTCATAATTATTGTAGACCCTTTTCATCAACTTCACGGCCATGGAATTTTTTTAAAACTACATTGCATTGTAAAAAGTGGCTACTACCATCACTACCCATGCCGTTGTATTAAATATAGTTTAGATGATTTAACATAATATGGAATGCCTTCAACAAATATCAGCTAGAACCACAACAAGAAGCCCCATTTTCCAATACATACATGAGCATGGCATACACAAAATTATATATTGCCATGGTCACATACATTTTTATTGGAAAATAGTACATATTAAATAGTACCTATTAAAAAAACTATACCAAGTCAGAAATTACTTTACCACATGAAATAATACTTGGTGTGGAGAATTTGTGTTTGTGTGTGCATGAATATAGTGCCCACAAGGAAAGTTGAAAACATCTGGATGATCATTATTGGGACTTTAGATAACTTTGATCAATTCTTAAAATTGGTTTAGCAACAAGTGTATCGGATTCAACTTATAGTATTGTTCTGGTTACAGTGCAATGTAATTTTAATTTCATTCTTTGTGCACGTACTCCTGTTCAGAGGATTAAATGCTTACCAAAGCTGACATATTTGCATGTTCAAAAATAAGTGGCTAGGAAACTTCACATACAGGAAACTATTATGATCTGTTGAATGCTATGTGTTCACATCTTTATTGGATGCATCTCTGAAAATATGGAAACATGTTACAGCCTTCTACCTGTGCTTAAGGTTTTCTGTATTGGGTCAAGAAATTAAAAGCAAACAATTATACTGTATCTTTATCTAAGAGTAAACATTAGTAAATAATGCCATTTTTTTTAAATAATCAAAATTCAATATCTTTTACTCAATCACCAGTTAAATGACTAAACTTTATAATTACAGAAAGAAGGTCAACAATGCTAAAGTTGAAATTCTTTAACAAAAGCAAGTTTCTATTTTTTTTAAATATATCCTCAGAAAGATAAACAAATTTTGGATTACTGCAATATTCACAACAGTTGCTTCTTCTTAATGTAGTTTTTAATACCTTTTATTAAGGCTAAATTAGCATAACCACAAAAATAAAAATAGCATTAGAAAGTTTCATATTATTTTATATTTCTGCAGAAGTTTTGAAGAAAATATGTGTATTATACTGCTATGATTTACAATGGCTTCTCAGTTTAGACTGCAAAACTACATACATATACAAACATAGAAGAGAATGCTAAAACAGCAAAATACTGGTAGCCAAACATGAATAAGTTAAATATAAAAAAACCTTTCAGGAAGACGTTCATAGCATGTCAAAAGCCTGATCCACAATCACCTCAAAATATGTTTAACTTACTGTTTTTCAATTTAAAAGCCCAAATCTGACAAGAGGCAGTTTATGTAGGGTTTTGTTGCCTGCTCTACAGCCTCTTATGTACAAAGGGAGCAATAAAAAAAAAACTTTGTAATGTGGTCCAGTATCTAGGCTTTCAATACATACATTTCAAACATTTCTAAATAGGGTCCCAATCTATCAGGAATAAACATACCATTAAATTATTAACCATTCTGGCAATGTTTCCAAATTATTGGAAACCACGATTTGTCCCCAGATTCTATCTGAGTAATGTTGAAATAACTGAAACCTACAATCACCATATGATGGTGTACAGTAGATCTCATTCATTTTAATGGGTTTTGCAAAGGAAAAATTCCTGGGTGACAACTACAAAAAAAAAACACCAAAACTTTAGGAGTCTGGTTTATTTCTTCTTGGTCCAAGTGAAAACAAGAGGAAAAAACGAGAGAAAAGAATAAAACTTGAATGGCCTACATGCAAATTATTTGTCTCTTTTCAAACACTGCCTGTTCAAAATACTACTCTGTTTGGAATGTTGAGTATCGCATCTAGTATATGCAAAGCTTCTAAGTACCTTTCCTTGAAAATTGAAAATAACAATAACAATATAATATGATGATAATGACAACACCGTGGATCCAGACCTATATTTTTTAGCAGAGCGTTTCAACTTAATTCCTAGAACTGATAGAGGATAGACAGATCAATTTCTTTTTTTTCTTTTCCTTTCCTTTCCTTTCTTTTTATGGGTCCTTTTGTTAAAGCAGATACAAGGTTTCTTCTGAACGTGGGCATCAACAGAATGAGAATGCAATCACCAACAGCAAAAGAAGCGTGCTTGACCTGACACTCACATGGAGAGAAGATGAATGATCAGAAGACATGTGACTAGTGGAGCCTCCTGCCACACTTTCCTTCCCAATTGCATTCTGCAAGACAGAAAAACTTCCTTCAATTGCCACTTTGTATTAGAACCTCCTAGCATATTTTACTGTTCTCGTCATTCATACTACATTCTCAGGTCAGTATTCTGTTAGCCATAAATTCTGATCTGCTATGTTTAAAGGTCTTACAAAGAGCCATGTGATTACATGTTCTTCCCGATTACGAGCTAATTACACTGCACAGATCAAGGGCAATTACCATGTGACCTACAAAATCATAGTCTGCTTAAGAATTAAAATATAATTACCATGGTTGAAGGTGAAGAGCTATTCTGGCAGGAATACATCCACCCCTCCTCAATATATATCTCCATGTAAAAGTAATTGAAATTATTTCCAATGACTTGAACAGATGTACCTCAAAAATTAGACCATAAATACAGCTGAAATCACTATGACAGTAGGACCTCACCCTACCAAACCAAAGAATGAGGAATGGAATTTACATCCCCAAACTTGGACTAGGAAATTTCTGCTCAAAATAATGAATTGGTTTGAAATTTTTATAACGAATATTCTGATACTATTCAGCGTTATAATTGTGTCAGAAACAATTGCTGCAATAAAGTGCAAGAACTTACCCCGGTCACACAGGGTTCCGTTATTATAGATTCATTGAAACTCTGCTTCGGTCCCTGTAGAAAAATGAAAACATTACTACAGGTCTCTGTTTTGCTTCCAATATTGGTGGAATACATCAATGAGCTGCATTAAAAATTAAGTAACCATTTTCAAACCAAAACCATTCCCATACGTTAAGTAAACATTTCCAATCCATTTATCAGGAATAGCTACAGTACATACATACAGTATAAAATTATTATAAAGATTATCTTCTCGTTGTATCTGCCTGTACAATTACATGTCTGTCCCTTAATAAATTAAATTATTGGTTAATCTTGCCACTGTTGCATTTGGAAAAAAGGATGCAATTTTCTTTCATACAATTACTAGCACTTAACAAAAATACATAGCAATACATTCTGTTTAAAATTAAAATTTGAGATTTTGGCCACAAATCACAAAGCAAAAAATAACAAAAATATGACAAAATGTGAAAGCTAATGTTACATATATATAGTCCTTGACTTATGACTGGTTGTTTAATGATCATTCAAAATTATGATGGTCTCAGAGAGGATGTTTTACAACCCATAAAGCAGTTCCGGCTGTCATAAAATGTTGCCCTCCTCCAATCACATGTCTACATTATGGATGTTTGGCAACTGGCTTGAATTTACAACATGTTGCCAAGTGCCCTGTGATCACCATTTGTAGTCTTCTCTGCCAGCTTCCCCAAAAAGTCAATTGGGAAGCTGAAAGGAAGTTTCCAAGTGGAGTGGACAGAGGGGAATTGAAATCCTTCTGCGAATTGAAATCTGTTTTTTTGCTCTCAAAGGAAAAAAAAAGCCTGGTGTCTCAATGATCACTTTACTCAATGACCAAGTTTCTGGTCCCACAATTGTAGTCATATGGTCAAGGTCTATCTATATATTATTCAACAACCGTCAAAATAGCATTGGTAAATATAGGCGTCTAATGATAAATTTTATATATGAAGAATGGTTCCCTTGAAAGAATAAATCGTAATAGCTTTTTAGCTCTTTTTATTCCAATCATATAATTTGCTTGGGCTAAAGCAACACCACTATATCACTGTGCTTTCTGAAACATCGCTCTATGAGATCACCATCTGGCCTTCTGCCATTTACATTGGTAAATAAGCTCTTCTTACTTGCTTGTTTTTTAAAAAAATATTTTTAAGACAAAAAAAGGGAAATATCATAATAGCTAGGAGATTCCACAGTATTTTCTTTTCCTAGACAGCTAAGCTTATTTTATTTCCCCTACAGTGCATCACATATTGCAGAATTTCTTTTCCATGATTATTTTTATTGTTTGGGGCCTTGGGATAGGCTGTTTTTTCATTTACAGAATTTCTTGCCTGATTCTTTGTCCTGGTAGTAGTAGATTTCATAGGTAACCTTATGAACTAATCTGATCCTAAAATTTACTGAAGGACTTTGGGTATTTCCAATTCTTGATCCAAGATAATAATTAGAATCCTTACTCCCAGTGTTCCTACGTCAGATGGTAGGTTATTAATGATCTGGCTTTTTCAGAACCCTTATTGGGAAGACCGCATAATACTATTTAGTTGATAGAAGTCTGTGTGGTGGCACAATGTTTAGAATGCAGAATTGCAGGCTGTTTCTGCTGGCTGCTAAGAGTTCGATTCTCACTGGCTGAAGGTTGACTACTGCTATTTTGCTACATAAAATAAATATTGTAATAAATATATTAGTATTTCTAGCATATTAGGTTTTTAATATTAAGTATATTTCTAGCTTATTTGCTTATACCAATGTTAGAGAGCCAGGTGGTGACATGTTTTGTTTTTCAATGCTGTGCTGTAGCATTCTTTTTTACATCTCTTTGGATTTTTTTTATTTTGGATATTTTAGTCTTTATTGTTTAAACCTTGGCTGAATTTAATTATATTCCATCAAATGATTTGGTTAGAGCTTTGCAATATTAATTGAATGGCAATAAATCAACCAACCAGATGGATCAAGTGTCCTTTTATTAACAGAATTAAGTGACTGCTATGGTATTTAATTTCAGATATGAAAAAAGACTTAAGGATATTGGCATATAAAACAATGGAAGTTCTTAAGGAAAGGGTTGGGATAAAAGCCCCTACATACGAAAATGGTTACTTTTCAATCTACAATGACAATGATCTCAGCAAAACCAGTAAAGTATTTTTTTTCTATAAATAATATCACTTAGACAAAGAACACAAAGACACATCCTAATCTCTTTACTTCCTGAACATTTTCCGATAGGGGAAAAAGTTAGCTTCTAAACTAAGATGTTACATGCCAAGCTTCAATTGGACATTTTACTGCTGACTTACAAAACTACAAAAAGCACTTATAATGGAAAAGCTGGCAATGACTGTTATACTAAAAGGTATCAGCCTATCCCTAAATCACAAGTAATAGGGAAAAGTATAAAAGAGAATATACAATAACCAGAAATTCTATACTAGAGGTAAAATCTTTTAATTTTTTTTGCTCCAATTATAGGAGATCCTGGAAAAAGAACCTGAAATATTTCTGCTTCAAAGAAAAATAAGCATTCACATCTATGGCCTTGCATATTAAGGAAATTCACTCAAGTGCTGATTAAAAGACATACATACATATATTCACAGCAGATATTGAACATAATTTCACAGATAATTACATATTATATACATACATACATAGATACATACATACAAGAGCCAGTGTAGATAGTGATTACAACACAAACTAGGAACAGTGAGACTCAGGTTTAGTCCTTTCTTAGATGCAGAAGTTGGCTAGGTGAGTTTGAGTCAGGCAACTCTTTCTCAACCTACATTGCAAACCCCAAATGCATCTATCTACCAATCTACTCTAGACTAGTCTGGTAGAACAGGGCTTTTCAACCAGTGGTACGGGTACCACCTGTGGTACATTGGCACCTGGCCACATCCGCAACCATCCTAGAAATGTGGTACATTGGCACCTGGCACCGCAACCATCCTAGAGAAGTGGTAGCGGGGGAGGGGAATGAGCTGAACTGGTGGCAGCACTGCACAAGCCTGAGCGAGAGATGGCTGGAGCTGCAGGGCTGTCAGGGCTCAGCAGAAGTGCCAGGATCAGTGCCACTTTCCAGCTGATCAGCGCTTCTTCGGGGCTGTCAGGGCTCAGCGGAAGCGCCAGGATCAACGCCAGGCTCCAGCTGGAGCTCGGCGCTGATCCTGGCGCTTCTGCTGAGCCCAGAAGAAGTGCCGATCTGCTGGAATGTTGCACCATCTCCAGGGTCTTGTGATTTACATTCAGATGCTTGGCAACTGATTCATATTTATGATGGTCACAGTGTCCCAGGGTCATGTGAAGTGACCAAAACCTGCTGCAACCACCCAGCAGACGGGGGGAATAAAAACCAAACACCCCCACCCCACCCTCACTGCCAATCCTCAACAGAAATGCTCACAACAATGAAAACCTTGGACAGGAGGAAGAGCGCCGCCGGGTGGGAAGGCAGGTGTCTTGCTCGGCTGTGGCTTGGGGGGCACTTTTTTCAGTGCCATTGTAACTTCGAACAGTCACTAAGTGAACTGTTGTAAGTCGAGGACTACCTGTACTTTATCAATTTTTTCTCTTTTTTTTGGTCATCAAGTTTTTGACACCTTACTAGGCGACTGGTGGTACTCGGATATTGCCATATCCTAAAAGTGGTACAATGGGTGAAAAGGTTGAAAAGCCCTGTGGTAGAATACTGTTAGTCCTTAACTAACAACCACAATTGAGTCTTAAATTTGTGTGTTTTGCTCCATTTTCTTGCCACAGTTGGTAAGTGAATCACTGTAGTTGTTAAGTTAGTAACATGGTTACTTCCCCATTGACTGCTTGCCAGAAGGTCACAAAAGGGCTTCACATAACCCTGGGATACTGCCACCATCATAAATATGAGTCAGTTGCCAAGCCTCTGAATTTTGATCACATGACCATGGGAATGCTGCAATGGTCTTAAGTGTGGAAAAACAGTCATACGTTTTTTGAACTCTGAACCGTCACTAAATGGACTGTTGTAAGTTGAGGACTACCTGAACAGTCCATGGCCTTTAATGAGGAGGCTTTCATCCTACAGTGACTTGATTAGGACTAACAATAATTATATATATGCAAGCACAAAGAGAGTGAGGACAGGGGAAGAGAGACTGAAATTGTAATTACTCAGATGAAAGTAAGATTATTTTTCACATTTATATGCTGATATTTAATTTTGATATTTATATATGTACTCAAAATAGAAGTATTTGGGACAGGTTTTTTTTAAAGATTTACTACTAAGATAGGCTATCCCACAGGGCCTTGGAATTTGTTCTGAATGGAGAGCCATTATAATTTTTGGTAATGTATTTCTGCTGGGATTATTCTGCTGGTACATCATATATTCATGTTGAAAAAAAGTCTGAGTTCTGGGGTTGGAATGTATGTAGAAGTTCATAAAATTATTAGAATACAAGTAACAGGCATATTATTTATTAAACAAAGAAGAACCAACATAAAATGTGAGAATAGGTGAGGACGGTCAGTTAAATATTCTTTCTTATAATTGCTCCACACATTTCTGGCAGCTCACATAATGTCACCCCCACCAGTCGGACCACACCAGGAAACCAGCTCCACAGGAATCCCAAAGCCACTTTTACTGAGATTGGCTATAACTACAGAATCTTGCAGATCTGATTGTGCTTACCTCGTCCTTTTCTAATACTCCTGTGAATTAGGGAGATATTTAAGCCCCTTCCACATATTTTTGTGTCTGTTGTGAACTTAAGATTGGATACAGAACTATTTTCTTCACATAGCAATAGGCTTGCCCGGAATGTTTTAGTTGTAGGTGAAATTATTATTTTATGTACTGTAAGAAGTACACTTAGGAGCATTTTATAACAATGATGTTTTCTGAAGCTCTGGATGTTTTCTACCCAGTCTGCCAGGAAAAAAAACACCATCTATTAGATGATTCCTGTTCTTCCAGACTTTCATGCATTTCTATGTCCTCAGTGGTTCTAACTAAGTGATCGGTCACC